CGGAAAGGCATGAAGTTCCCATCAGGCTGATGGAGTCCTCTCCCCCTGCCAGCCTAAGGTAAACATCGGCTGGGATGGAGAACTCTGTCCTAAAGTACTCTAGTTTGGCCGGGGTGTCTACCTCCACCTAAACATACCCACGGTGTCAGCTTATGAGGATTAAAGCAAAATTTCATAAAAGAGTGTCTGGTATGGTTTTGAGGACCTCGGCTAAACCCTAGAGAGCACTGGAGTAAAGGCTTCTGAGAATCTTAAAGGAGTTTTTGGTTCGATTTTCCTAAAAGACAGAGTTCTAAAATCAAAACCCAAACCTAAATCTACGCAGTCAAGGTAAGAATCTGGAAAATAAAGCAAGAAAAAACAGAAAAGACAATGATTCAGACTCAAGAAAACCAATAGAAATTCAAGTACATTGTACAGAGTGTGTGTAAGCTGTGCAAAAGCCAAGACTAAAGTGGCAAAGTAACTAGTGTGTGAGTAGTGTGTGTATACATATACCCAGAAATAGATTGGACAAAAGCAAAATCGCAACAAACATGATGAAATTTGAAACACAAACGAAGATTCAAAACATGAATGGATTCACAATGGCAGCATACAAGCATTACAAAGTTTGAAGTAAATCAAAAACTGAAAAGAGAGAAAATGGTGACTTACCAAAGAGAATAACACCGATGTGAGGTACGCCGAAGTCAGACGATGGTGGTGCGTGGAGCAGAACGGTGAATGCCTCGCCGGAGGGAAGAACGGAAACAGTTGCAGAAAGCTTTAGAAAACGACTAAGGAGGTTTCTTGTTTAGAGAGAGAGAAAGCTTGAACTTAGAGGAAACCGAGGAAGGCAAAAGTGAAGAGATGGAAAAGAAAATGTTTTTGTTAAAACACGAAAATGTGGCAAAAATCACAATGAATGTGCCTTGGATAACGTGCCTGTAAGGTGGTGTACGCAGAGCGACGCGACCTGATGGCGCGTGTTAGGTACGGGCCAATGAGAAAAAGATGCTTTACAGAAACGGTTGAGAAACCCGTGCGTGACAGCTCACTAATGCGCAGATAGAACTCTTGGAGTTCTTGATTTAATGAGCGAGAACCTCGGCTAGAGGGACGATCTCGGTTAGAGAACTTGAAAAACTTGTTCTTGGTTTTTTAAGCATTGATAAAGCAGACTGTGGTCTTGGTCATATGGAGCCGACGTGTGATGACTCGGTTTAATGAAGGATAGAGTAAGTCTTAGCTGATGTGCTATATGGACAAATGATGTAGGTTCCATTACCTCAGGATGCCGAGGTAATAGAACCTAGGGGCAGTTGTGGGGATATATTTTGTGAATGACAACACGTGGCCAAGGTGGCACCGACAATGCCAACCGAGGGGCCAGCGTGTCTTGGTCATGGTTGCCAAGGTTATCTCGGCTAGGCCGAGGTTATCTAAGGGATACCGAAATCCGAGATGAACGGATAAGGGATAAGAGTCCTAGAATAGGGGAGGATCTTAGTCTGGATAAGAATAGGACTCTTAAGAAATTATCTCTATCTGGCTGGGAGTCCAAGATAAGCATTGAGGCAGAGTACATTAAAGCTAGGCTTCTACAGGGATCAAGTTAGTTCTGGCTTATAAAAGTAAGGCACCCTTGTGGGTCAAAGGTACGCTTTTGTATTCTGGCTAGTGAGTTAAGCACTGTTTGCTATCTTTGAGAGATAATTGAGTACTGACGTGATCGTCGGAGTGCCCCCGGATGGACGAACCACAGCCAGAGTCTTATCTTTCTGTGACAGGTTTTCGGACGTAATCTATTTTGCCGATGTTCTCCAGCTGAGAACCTATTTGGCAGTGTGTAAATCAACACCACAGTAAGTTATGTATATCATAACAAATTGAAAATGTTATTCAGGTAGTTAACCAATGTGTCACAACCCAAACTCACCCCTATAGTTTAAGTGTTATAACCGGCCATATATCCATAGATTATCTCTCTTAACAAAAACAAATTTTAGGGACTAGCAGAAGCAAAATACAAATATACAATGTCCATTGAGCTGTGCAGACATATATGAGACAGAAAAAAATTAAAAATTTATATACAAATATTATATATCACCTCTAACATCACATTTATACAAATAAGACAAAAAGGAAACTTAGCCTATTTACAAAATAAACAAAAACTTAAAATTTAATCACATAGCCTTGGCACTTGACGTGTCCGTGACCTCCACGGGAGGTGCAATAGGTTGGTTGACAAAACAGATTCCAGGCAAACACCTCTAAGCCTACTCTGATCATCTCTCTATACATATACTATAATACAATAATATATGTAAGCCTAAATACAAAATAAGGGGTTATAAATGATGCCCTTACAGTATTTAACATATATCATTAATCAATGTCTCATTTCATATATCATATTGTAATCATAGCAGTCATACGTGGTACATCTAATAGCAGGACAGTATAGACGATTATAAGAGCCGAACAGTAGAATTGAGGACATGCCATCAATACAGTAAACAGAAGTCCAAATTGAACTAACAATAGATTTGTAACAGTAACAGTAACAGTAAACATGTAGCAGTAACAGATGCTAAGGATGCCACGAATACAGTTCTAAAAACAAGACTATCATTCAATCAGGTAGAAAATAGCATTTCAAAACAAAGCATTGTATAAGTCAGAAATATACTTATAATTCGAACATATCTTTACAAGGTTTTTACTCACTGATAGCTCCAGAGACAGATGAACTCGTAACGCGTTACCTACACAAACATAACATAACACATTGAAACACAATATCATCTCCTGATCAAACTTGACTTATCTGTCTTTTTCTATTTAAGTAATCCAAAGTTCTACTACGCGATTGTCACGCCCTCAAAATATAACCACATCTCTATGTATCATTGATATGCAATATTTAAAGAAAACAATTTATTAAACCATTCATCAGAGTATTACTAATAAAAGCATTACATGTAACATCAAATTAAATGCCCTATGGGTTTACATCTTTCAAGCCAACTACCCTTGGACCCAAAATATGAGTTTCTAACTCAAATACAAATAAAGCCCTAGGCTTGATTATTTAACAATAAAAACAATAACTAAAGATAGTCTTCAGAATCCAAAAGCCAAATCCTTCAAAGCTAATCCTTGGAGGTAGCTTATCACCTGAACCTGAAAATGATGTTCTCATAAAAGGGTGAGCCACAGCCCAGTAGAAAAATACTAAACCCAAATATAAGCATTGAATAAAGCAATAGCATTCAATAGATGGTTAAACCAAGATAATCAATTATATCATTTTACCGTCTCGTGACACTAATGTCAATGACACGTTTCACTTTCATTATTATCAATGTGGCTCAGAACCTGGCCAAACTTACAACAGTGAACTATATAAACATATTCACATTACTTTCAATATCAACAAAACAAAGAGACTCATGCTCATATTCAAAACACTTCATACTTCCCGTTTGATACACATTGTAGTGCTGTATCAATAACATGTAAAAACACTTCATATAATAAGCACACATAATAGTGATGCTAATGGAATCCATCCCCTATCTCCTCCCAAACAAAATCCGGTTTAGAGTCCATCCCCTATCTTCCCCTAAACCGTGGAGTACATCCCTTATCTCCTCCCACACAATATGCAAATGCAATGCTCAATCAATACACGTATTTTCTGTATTAATCCAATAGTCAAAATTAAAGACTTAACCAATGTGATTAGTTTCAGTTATCCTAATCCACATGCAATGTCTACAACAATCACGACTATCCTCCACGATAGCCAAAAACAGTTATTTTCTAGACTGGAAATTAAATATATCAACAATTCAATAGGCGAGTGATTTTAATTACCAACTACACCATTTAATCAATGAATCCCAATTTCATGCCTTTAACCAATTTCCCAATTTCCTTAAATTAATTATACAAATTAATTTATTAATACAACTAGGGTTTTTCCCAAAATTACCAAAGTACTCCCAAATATCAAAATACCCATACCAAAACTTAGAACAAAACTTATAAGATGGAGTAGGAAATCCCTACCTCGAACGAAGAACACAAATGGAGAAGACGGAGATGAAGACCCAAATTCCAAAGTGCTCCAAAACAACAAACGTTCAGATTAAATGGAAGCCCTCGACTCACTCTATCTTTTTATTAAAGGATCTGGGGTAGAAACACACTAAAAGGTGATGAAACCTAAGAGAGAAGGTGAGTAGAGGAAGAGAGAACTCGGAACTAGGGTTTCAGGATCAAAAGAATGTGAAAAAAACGTTTTAAAAACCGCTGCTGCGTATTTAAACCCGACAGGCTCGCTCGAGCGAAGACTTGGTCGCTCGAGCGACCAAACACAAGAAACCTCGCTCGAGCGAAGAAAAGCTCGCTCGAGCCACAAACTCGATGCTTCAGGTCTGCAACCCAGAAGCTCGCTCGAGCGACGAAATTCTCGCTCGAGCGAAGAACTCGAAAACATACACCTCTCTCGCTCGAGCGAAGGAAAGCTCGTTCGAGTCAAGAAACACAACTCTCAGGTCTAGAGCCCAGACGCGGTCTCTCGCTCGAGCTACCGAACCCGGGGTCGAGCGAAGGACCAAAAACAACAGCTCGCTCGAGCGACCAACTCCTCAATCGAGCGAAGGTCCAAAAATCTGGACAGCAACACTTGGTTTCCAACCCAACCAACCTAAAACAAACCTGCCCAACACATCCTATAACTCCAAATGAGAAAATAAAGGACGACAACAGCAATTATACAATGACAGAATCTATGGAACCTAAGTCCGGATTCAATAATCAAATGGGAAAAGACCGGGGTCGCTATAATCCCTCTATATTCAAATAACTCGGGTTCTCATTTCACATATTCTTTCATTACTAAGTCCTTCTTTTCCAAATAGACTGATTTCTTATTTGACTTCGATTTATTCTTTAACTAATTAATTTATATTGATCGGTAGCTTATTAATCTTTATTGAGCCATAAATCATGTTTAGAATGCTTTGGAAAGAGATGAGAGCGAAATATGAGCAAAGAGTAGTTTTTTAAAATAGCTTGACTGCTCGAGCCATCACTTGGTCACTCGAGCGGACTATATTGTTTATAAAAAAATACTAGAAGCTCGTAATGTTCGCTCGAGTCACCAATTGATCGCTCGAGCGATCTATAAATTTTTTGAGTTTCAAAACTGTAGTTTGAGCTTCCAAATTTCATTTCAAATTTAGATTCATGCTTGACTCAATTTAAATATGTAATTTCATTAGCAAACTTGAACCCACGGTTACTTTTAAATTATAATACGAAACCCTTCTTCCATTTGTCAAGATTAAAACTAAAATTTCATAAATATAATGAGTTTAAAATATTTCTTTCTTTGTTTATAAAACATAAAATTGAAGCTATAAAGCTCTTTAAAAAAAAAATTTGCATATATGAAATTCAAATCAAAATCAAACCAATTCTTGATTCTCAAATATAACTTATAATTTAGTTCTTAATTTGTCTAAAGTTAGATTTAATTCATTTTCTTCATATCAAACCCAATTCCAAACTCATAAATTTTAAAACATAAATTAAGCTTCCAAGACTTTCATACTCAATACTCATGCAAAACTTCATCAAAACATGAAAACAAATATGAGCCATGATCAATCTTCAACTCAATTAAATCAAAACTTCCTTTAAACTTCCTTTAATTCCAAAATCAAAATCTCAAATTTCATGAACTCGTGATTTTCAAAACTTTTTCTTCAAAGTCATTTATATACTCTATTGCATAGATCAAATCTTCAAATAATCTCTATTGCATGTAATTTATAGGACTCAAGTCAAGAGTAATTCTCAAAATTGAACCCAATTTAACAAATTTAAAGAATTATAACTCATATTCTTCAACCTAACTTAATTTAACATCCAAAACCCAATTCCTATCAATTTATATAATCAATTTCAGCTTTTAACTAATTTATCTACAAGATTTGAGCTTTAATTCCTTACCTAGAGTTCTTGATTGATGAATTTTTTGATGAATTTCCCTTTCCTTTCTTTAAACCCTTACTTCCTTGAGCTCAATTCTTTCTCCCTTCTTGACATAGAATTTTCCAGCACAAATCTCTCTCTCTCTCTCGTTTTTTTTTTTTTTTTTCAGCCGAACAGAACTCTCTCTCTAATACATATTATATATGCTTTTCTTGACTTCATTTTTTTCTACTTTCTAGAACACTCTCTAACTCTCTTATCTTATTTAATTGACTTTGATTGGATTATTTCACTAATCACGTATTAACATAATTAATCAATTGTTAATCTTAATTAATAACGTTTAATTTAATTAGTTTAATTTACTTCAATTAAAACCCAATTAATTATATTTAACTTTTACCAATCTGAATCAGATTTTTAATCAAACTCCCAAAATGTTCCAAATATTAAATTAAACTTATTGTCATTATCAATTTTGATTTCCCAAATCATTTAGGCCTTCAATTTCTGATCAGACTCAAAATTTTCGTCAATAAATTACATATTCAAATTGGACCTCATAAATAAATTTAATTCATAATAATAACAATTCTCAATCCTCATAACTTAATTAACTCCAATTCTGACCTAATTAATCAAATCTCAATTTTACTAAACTGAATCGAATATTTAATTAAACTCTCATATGGTTCGATACTTGAAATTAAATTGAAGCAACTCATCAATTTTACCTCCTTAAGCCATTTGGACGTTCAATTTCTAATTCCAAGGTAAATCCTTAATAGAATTATATACGAATCAAATTCTACAATTCTCATAAATCCTAATTAAATCAGAATAACGGCTAATTAAAATTCAAATCTCCTTAATTAATCAAATATAAAATATTATACGTGGCGGCATCGTCAGACAATGATTCATTGAAAGATAGCAATATATGCAAAAAAAAAAAAAAAAAAATAAAAAAAACATAGGAAGTATATCCCCTCTCTCCATACTGATACAGCTATGTCACAACCAAAGTCAAACACTCGACAAGGAAAACACGAAACATCTAACACAAGTTCCTTAAAACTGGGGAAAAAACAAGCTAATGGGCACTATTATTGAGAAAATAAGCAAACCCAGAACCACTTAAGCAAATTCCCTCATTCAACTATTGCTTCAAGATTTTATTAGAGATAATCCAAGCTAGGCACAATTGTCGGTTAAACAAAGATATTTTTTTTATTTATTTTCCTTCGTCTCTGTCATTTTTACGTATTGGTATTTCAAGTTTTGATTTCAAATCCTCTTAAAACCCTCTTTTTTTATTTAACATTTTTCCCTTCTCATCCAGTACTCTACGCAGCAATATAATTTCATTGTGCTTTGAGAAACCTGCCTAGCAGTAGATCTATTAGCAATTTCAGTTGCTAATAGAAGCAGTAGTGCTTGCTCAAAAATATCAAAATTTTGAATTAGTAAGGATTTTTTTAGAATTGTTTGAAAATTATCAAAACTTAAACCCAACTCAACAAAACTTTGCCCCAACTATTCAGACAGCAACATGAAAATATACAAAACGTGAGATTCAAAAAAAATTTGGTAACTGCAAGATGGTTATGAATGTAGCATGTATTCAAATACACTATTGTGAAGCAATATGCTTCTTTGCAATATTAACTTGTTGTGTTGACTGGGGGAAAAAATTTACAATGATGATATGACATGATTATGGATCATGATATATTACTCAGTAATTATTATATAAGTACAGTAACAAATCTCACTACATGTAAATATGACAGATACACATTATATTAAAACAAAGAATTTCATTTTAATAGTAAAATTCAGCATCTTACCGACACTAGATTGGGGGGTTGCCTCCCTCTGTGCCTCTATATATATCGACATCAAGTGGCTGTGAGTGTTGGGTCTCCACATTGTCATGTAAATCCCATTCGGAACAAAAATTACCTCGTGCGAAGGTTGACGAGATGACTGCGCCAATCGTTTTGGTGGCATTGGTAAGCCCTAAAAAACATAATACAAAAGCATAAACAATAAATACACAAAAATGGATAAGTAAAGATATGTATATAAAAATATAACGATAGTATTAACAAAGCATCATTAACGAATATATAGCTACGAGACATAATAACAAAAGTTAGATATCATACATAACCTATATCATACATATAGTACCTCATCGTCAACACTTTCAAAAGACTCGGCGTCAATATCATCCTCATGATCTGACGGTATGTAGTCATCATCATCTACCTCAGCCCTAATGTTCTTTCCTTTCTCATTAACACGATTGGGCTGAGTAGAACCCATCAAAGAAGCTACTATACGCTTCAACTGTAGAGCATCGATTTTCTTATTATTCTTCTTGATTGTCTTATATCTTTCCATTTTGTACTCTATTAGCCAGGGTTAGCCCTAGGCATAGGCCCACCAGGCCATGGCTTAGGGCCCCTCAAAATAGACCCTAAAAAGGGGCCCCCTCCTATTATAGTTTAGTATAATATATTAGGTATGTTTTAAGTCCAAAAAAAAATTAAAGAAGGCCCAAACTAACTTAAAATAAATTTACCCATTAAAAAATTGAAAGGCCCATTCAAAATTAAAAGGGCCCATTCTCTCTCCCTATCTAATTCCTAACCCTAACTACTCTTAAGCCAATTTTGCCAACAACTTGACAGCAGCCCAACAAAGAGCACAAAGCACTAAGCAGTGAGTGGCACACAAGCAGAGCACTAGCACAACAGAGCAGCACTGAGCAGCACACAAACAGAGACACCGAGCAGCAGCAGCAGCACAGCAAGATAGGTAGGTTATTTTTTTTCTATTCAATTAATTAAATATTTGTCTTGTCTTTTGCTCAACTACTATTATAATATTGGTATTTACATCAACAAAAAGAATTTGTTTAAGTTTAATAGTTCACATCACATAATTTAAAAGTTTTGTGTTTTGTTAAATGGTGGTGGTGCTCTTGTTTTGAATTTTGATCGAAAAAAGAATTTTGATCTCAACTCATCATGACTCTTAAAAGAAATTATCCGTCTGGATTCGCAAAAAGGAAAAAGAAGCAAAGGGTCAAAAAATTAGTCGAGTGTCAAAGGGGAGCTATTGATAAATTCTCTACAAGTGACAAACACGCATAACAATCTTTTATCCTTTACCTTCAAATTTTTTTTCATTCAATGAAAAAAAAAATTGTGAAGGGCCCTAGAAATTTATTAGTTGATTATCGGCTTTGGACCCCAGAAATCTCAGGATCGGGCCTATTGTTAGCTTCTATTTCATTAGAAAACCTAGTTTAATCCATTGTTTCTCCCCTTTGGCCATTTTGTTAACTAAAAAACATAAATTGATATAAAACATAAAATATAAAGCAGAATACTTACTTGAAGAGACAAAACAAAATATATCATAAGCATGTAATGCATAAAAAATATATGTCCATATAGAAAATACAAAACAAAAACTACATATCATATTCCATATCAGGATCCATATCATCATCAAGTATGTCAAGTTCTTCATCTTCTCTGTCATCTCTACCATCTCTCATTGTTTTATTTAGAATAACCTTAGCTTCAATATTATCCCTATGAAATCGAATAATATCTTCAATATTGATCAGGACAACTGATTTTATGTTTTCTTGTTGGAATGCATCATGAAATTCTGGTTGATCCGATGGTTCTCCATCACCAACCTTTGGTATGTCAAACACATCCCTATGTTGGACCTGTTGCACAACTTGTCAAGGTTGCCCCCATTTGGTGTCATTCAGGTAGAACACTTGTATAGCTTGACTAGGCAAGATAAAAGGGTCAGATTGATACCATCGGCTTGTGACATCGATGCTTGTACTGTTCTACTTCTATCAAAGTCATCGGTGTTATACCATTCACATTGAAACAAAACAACTTTATTTTGACACATGTACTCAAATTCCCAAATATTGCACAAGTGACCATAGAATTCGTGCCTCTCTCCCTTGTAGTCCCCTTCGGTAAGCACACCACTATTTTGACTCTTACGACGATTGTCTAATTCTTTGGTATGGAATCTTACACCATTGATTATACAACCCGAGTACTCTTTTACTATCAAATTGGGACCATTCGCTAATGACCACAATTCTTCAGTTGCTTCTGGTGCCTCATCAACTCTCAATCCATTTATCTATATCCACATGCAATTTGTAACACTTGAATTATGTTAGTAATGTTTGAATTTTATACAAGCCTAATAGTGTTTGGGTAATTGTCAAAATTAAAAATGACTTACATATTCTTTGAACCACCTCGGAAATTCTTTCTGTTGTGTCTGAGTTATATCTTGTCCAATGGAAATTTGTAACAAATTCTTATGTTCCCTACTCAAATAGTTTTGGTTAATAAGTGAAATACTATTATTAATGACTAACAACATGAAGAATGTTAAAACATATATAATTATAAGAAACACATACTGAAGATACTTCTCTATCTCAGGGCTATTGTACAACAAGAACCAATGAGCAATATCACGAAGTTCCTATGACATCTCAACGTGTTTTCTGATTTGGCCAATAGGACGGGCAATTTCTGTGAATATTGTCAAACCTTACAACGGACTCCATAATCTTCATTTCGTTCATCTCAATTATGCACAATTTTAATCCCTTCAAGATACATTGAGCAAAAAGTAATACACTCCTTGACAATGTAAGCCTTTGCAATAGAACCTTCTGGTCGAGCTCGATTGATGACAAACTTCTTTAAAGCTCCAAAAAACCTTGAAGAGATAACCAATTAGGAGTAAGGTTAGCCATACAACATAATCTATACCTTTCATTTCAAAGTACAATTTTAGAAATTACCTTTCAATCGGGTACATCCACCGATATTGCACAGGTCCTTCGAGAATAGTCTCACGTGACAAGTGAATGGCCAAATGAACCATCACATTGAAGAAGGCTAGAGGAAAGATCAAACTTACATAGTATGAGTACTATGTGTTCCTCTAATTTCTCCATTTCACTTCGTTTCAGTGTCCTTGAGCATAGATCTTGGAAGAAGCTACCTAACTCAAAAAGTGCTATACTGATCTCTTTATCCACATAACCACGCATCACAATCGAAAGAATCCGTTGTATAAGTACATGGCAGTCGTGGCTTTTCAATCC